ATTTTTTTCTCACATCTCTCATCCCAAACCTCTTAGAACCCTAGGAGAAGAAAAAGGGAAAAAAAAAAAAGGGAAGAAGAAAGGCTCTAAAGCTTGAATTTTGCTTTGAATTCTTGATTTTAGGTAGGGATTTCTTCTCATTCTCCTACATTGAGGCTAGAATTTATATCTATGTATATTTTGCTTCTAAATCTTAGATGTATGTTATGAAATTATTATTTCTTGATACTCTTGCAAATATTATCATGTTTTGAATGAAGTTATGGTTTGATAGCCATGAAATCCTTGAAATCTCAAAACCCTTGTTTCTTTTAAGAAATAAAGATTTTTCTTCTTGATATTCCTTATTCTTGATTTCAAAACTCTAGTGTTTTGTTTGAACAATAAAAATATATGTTTGATGATCTCTTGCATATTTTTTTTTCTTGAAATTGCTCCATTAGAAAAATACCTATGGAATTGGGGGGTTTTTGATTTACTTATGAACTTTTGCTGAGAAATTGTTGGTGATTGTATCTCATGGAGGTATTTGGATGACCATGGGTGACTATTGACCGAGTATCGTAGAGTTGGTAGATGTGTGTGATTCTTACTCCGTGCGGGTTTGAACTTTTTCTACCACTCGTAGTGGGGTTGGTGTCTTCCGAGGACCAAACCACTATTAGCTCACTGGTGCTATGTCAAAGGATTAGTATACTATGTCTAGGTCGGATTTGTTATTGCCGGTGCATTGGTATGGGACAATGCATCGGTAGGTGCCCTTCCCGAAATTTGATATCCTTGCGAGAATTTGTGTGTGTGTGGGTCAGGATATTCTCTATGTGTTTATTCATGTGATTATCTTACATCAGACTTGAGATACATTGTGGTTATTGTTTATTGCGTTATCTTTTGAATATGATTATCTTAAAAATTGTTATGGGAATGATTACTCTTTGGAATGGTTATTTATAGTGGGATTGTCTTTACTCTTGTACTTAATTATTATTAATATATAAACTTGAGATCTTTTAAAAATATCATATTTTCTTTCAAATTTTACCTATGTTATTTGTGAATGAGACCGACGATTTTCTACGTTTTTCAAACCTTGTTAGAGTTTGAGAGAAATTTTCTACTGAGCTTAGTGTTCACCCTCTACCAATAATATTTTTTTCCAGACTTCGTGCTAGAGGAAGATCCTGGAGTTGACGAGCCGAAAAATTGGGAGGCTTCACCAGAGAGAAACCTAGATCCCGAGGTGGACGTCTAGAGCTATAGTTTATTTTTGTGCTAAACTAGGAAGTTTATTTACGATCATATTTAGTCTAGTATTTTGTTTATTCCGCTGCTAAGTTTAAATATAATTCTTTTGGAATGTAATTGTCATAGCTTAGCCTATTCTTTTGGGATGATATTATGGATATTACATATAGTGAATGAAATTTTATTATTTGATGAATTTATTTAGTGCTCTCATAATGTGAATGGTTTTAGATAGTAATGTCGTCCAATGGGGATTTTGGGGCATTACAAATCGAACTCATATGAATTGTTTTAATGTAAAAGAAAAATTGCATGTGGTTATATGAGTAAGGATAAATGGACCAAGTGTGGTCAATGTTTATTTATAAATGGACCTGGTGTGATCAATATTTATTCATAAATGAACCCAGTGTGGTCATTGTAGTGTAATTGCACAGGTTATGTTTTGGGTAAAGTTCCCCGTACAAAAGAGACTCTGCCCGAATTTTGTTAAATTATGGAGCCTCCAATTTTTGGGGCATTATAGAGAGAGTTGTCTTTTTATTTATTGTGCGAAAATCACCGCACACAACTACTTATTGTATTGTGCACTATTGAGATTGTAGTTAAGTCAACAATGGTATGAATTAGTATGTCTAATGTTAACTAGATTTTGTATTATTTTGTTATGCGCCTTGTTTGATGGATTGAGTAATTGTATTGAGAACATGAATTTTGATGTGTTTATAAAAAGGAATTAATATAAAGATATAATATATGATATAAATTAAAGTGGTTACCATATATATTTTTTGTTTTAGTTTTTAGATTTTTTAAAACTAAAATCTGCAACCAAACACGTTTTTTATTTCAACTTTTTTCCACACAAATAAATAAAAACGTTATCAAATGCAACTCTAATTTTCATCGCACAGGTGTAATAAGTTGGAATTGATATTAAAATTATAAGTCATGAACAAAATAATTAAAAATTGTATTAGTAGGCAACAAAAAACTTATTCACTGATTGATTGTGAATTTTGATGACTCATTTTTTTTAAGGAAGGTATAATGTGACAACCAGTATTAAAATTGATCGCTAATACGTTAATTCAGACGCTAACTATAATTTTATGTGATTGAAAACATATTATTAAAGTTCATTTTTATAAATTTTAAATAAGTAAACAGAGTTCAAAAGTAAATTCGTTATGTAACAATAAATCAAATAATTATAATATAAATTATATTTCATATTGAAATAAAAATATCGAAATAAAATATCTAAAGTATTTAAATTATATTGTCACATACAACATAAAAAAAATCAAAACAAAACAAATCACATGAAAATCAAAGTGGACAGGTGTCCATGGGTGATGCAGGCAATCATTTTATGCCTTACGTGATGTTCTTGGAGCCCAGGGCTTCCTTCTCATTTGTACAAATAGCATCCAATGTCAGTAAAAGCAAATGGGAAAGGGAAGAAAAAAAGACAGACACACGAACAAAAGTGAAAGCGAGAAAGAAAAGGAAAGCGACGTTGATTTAGTCGTTAGATATATTTATTTAAATTTATTTTATATTATACAATGTCGCTAAATTCGAATATTTTATTCACCGTACTTTATATTTTATATTTATTGAAATTATTTATGATTTTGAGGTACATAGTTATACACAATATGCTTATTTTTTTGAAAGAGTATCATTTGATTATTTAAAAATTTGTATTCTTATTAATTATTTTTGATTACTGTGAGCTTCTGAAATTTTTGTTGAGCAGACCTGTATTTTGGCTAAGTGTAGTCGTGATATATTTTATGAAATATTTTTGTGTCTATACTCGATATCATTGATTAATATGATTATTAATTCATATGTCTAAGTATCATTTGTCGTGGCATCAAAATAAATCAAGTATGACTATGTCAGTGGATCGAAGCGGGGCGGAGAGTGTAGTTTTTATCCCTGTACCCGCTTAAAAAAACTCCGTCCATCCCTAATCCACCCCCGTTAACGAGTATAGTTTTTATCTTCATCCCCGTCCGCAGGTAAATTTTTAATCCCCGTCCCCGCTTCTCTCGTACCCGCCTAAGCTCAAGCCTAAACTCAAGTCTAAGTTCAAGCCCAAATAGCATAATCCAAAATCTTAAATAAATTCAATATTTTAAATAATTCAACAACATTCTAAATAATTTAACACAACATAATGTAGATAGCAAAAACAAAAGTCAAAACAATATAGTATTCTATTTAAAGTGGCATTGGACCACAAAAAGAGAAACAGAACTATTAGAGAGGAAGGAAGAAAAGAAAAATAAAATTGAACTAAGAAAACAATAACATTACACTTAAAGTTTCTTAGAATAATTTTTGTTATTATAATTCATATTAAATCCATAAAGTGTTAACAGATAAAAACTTAAAATTTCGCTAATTCAATAATTCTCCCAATTTTTTAGTTTACTTTAGCAAAGAAACTCATCAGCATCCATTCACAATAATTCTACCTATGATGAAATGCAAAACTATCATACTCTCTCTTATCTGTTTTTAGAGCATTATCAATTCAAACTCCTAACAGTTTCGATCAATGAGCACAAATAGAAAAAAGACCAATCAAGGAAAAAAGTTGATAAGATTATCACGTAGCAATGTCACTTGTTAGTTTGATTACTATATTTTAGATTTATAGTTACAGTAAATATATTTAGTTAGAGCTTGAGAGTATATATATATATATATATATATTATACGGTAGCGGGTAGGGAAGGGAAGGGAGGGGGAGAGGCGGTCCAAACGGGACGGATTTAAACGAATATCCGTTTTTTCCTGATCCATTGTCATCCCTAAGTATGAGGCTATGTTTCATACTAGTTAAGTTGCATGATATGTCAACTTTGATGCTTGATTCCGTTATTTATTATTGTCTATCGATTAATTTATTTGATATTTGATCATTCATATTTTTATCGTTGAATATATTATTTCATCGAAAAAAATTTAGCTATACCTCTTTTAGTTTATCATATTTTCAAGAATACCCCCTCTATTTTTTGAATTCTCACCAACACTCCTTATCAAATTAAAAGCATTAACCAGAATATAATTTTACTAAATTGTCCATGATGTATTTTAAAAAAAATTCATCCACACTCCCTCTAAATAGATATATTTTTAATGAAACCCCCTCTATTTTATGAATTTATTTACGTATTAAAATTCGCACTGATTAAAATTTGATTCGAGCTAATTAAAAATTCGAATAAAATTTTAATCAACTTGTTTTAAATTTTAATAGGTCCGAATTTTATATTATTAATAAGTAAAAAAATATAAATTTTAATTAAGTTGAATCGAATTTTAATTGGAACTAACAACTTAAATTGAACTCAAATTGACTCAAATTTTAATATGTAAAAAAAATTAATAAGTAAAATTAATTTTGGAATAAAGACCGTGATTAGAATATTAGAAAATCGAAATGAATGAATCTCAATATAAATTTTGTATTATTAAAATTAAAAATTTATTAATCTTTGAAAATTAAATTTGGAAGTATAATTTTTATTAAAAAAATTAAAACTCTGACCATATATTTATTATATTTTAATATTAATTTATTAATTAATGGCAGGACGTTACAATGCACAAACCTATTGAAAATAAATTTGAGATAAGTATTATTAATTGAATTTTGGATTAAATTCGACAAGTAAAAATTGAACCCCAATTTCCAATTTTCAACCCTCTATCTTCTCAAAGACAGCGTCAAGAGAAAGCAAAGAATTTGCAGAGACTCTAGAGAGAAAGTAGAGAGAGATACTGTGAGTGTGAGTGTGACTGTGTATCAGTGTATGCAAAAAAAAAAAAAACCAACGTACTAAACCGACACCGTTTTAGTATCTTGTAGTTGACGCCAACATGGAATTCGACGACGAACTACAGACCATACTTTCAGAACAACGCCGTGAACTCACGGTGGCAGAGGAAATGGAGTCGGACCTCGACTTCGCTTTTCAGCTACAGATGCAAGAAGCCATGAACGCCTCTTTCGCTCTCCACCCATCCCCATCCTCATCCTCTCCACCACACTTCCACCCCCTAGACGGTGACGTTTCAAATTCCACTGTCTCTCGCCTCCTCGACGAAGAAATCGCGAGGTTCGAGCAAGAATGCCGAGATCGCGAGCTAGTGGAAGCCGAAATGAAACGAATGCGTGAAACTATCGACCAATATGTCCACGATCAGGCCTTCGCTCGCGATATGCTCAGAATTCCGGAAGAGGAGTGGGAAAGAACCGGTGAGCACTTTCATAGGCCGTTGGGGGAGGGTTCTTCAAGTTCTTCGGCCGGTGGTGAGAATTTTAGGGTTTATTTTCAGGGTTTGGTTAATGAAGAATTGGTTGGGGACGTGAGGAAAATGTTGGCGGGAATTGGGGTTGCGATTTGTGATGCGAGAGATAATTTGATTTTCAAATTGAAAAAGCCTTTGGTTGGAGGGGAGTTCAGTGATGAAACTTTGCAGTTTAGGGCTTTGATTGAAGGGCTGAATACAGCAGTTATGTTGGGTTTGAAGAGGGTTACTGTAATATGTGATGACAATTTGCTTTACCAACATGTGAGTACCTTTTCCTATGCCTACACACCCACCCACACACACACACATGCATACATAGAGATTTTTTTTTTTTTTTTTGGTTACAGTAATTGGATTTGAATGTTGCATTTGAAGATTATAGTTTTCTAATGCTGCATTGTTGAAAACTCTTCACCTCAGCTGTATTTCAGGTATAATCTGTACTTGGAAGCATAAATAAATTTTTACTGTCCCTAGTAATTAGACAAAACGGTATGCTGTGACTGTTCATGTTTACTGGAGGTGACTACTGGTTTTTTAATGGAGCTGAGATTTTGAAGCTTCATGCTTCTGGTACTGTTTCTGTAAGTATCACGATGCTTATTTTACATTAATCAGAGGCAATCAAAAAGGGTGGACTTTGTTATTAAGATCTTTTGCCTTATTCAAACTTGACCTATGAGGCTATGATTGACCAAGAAAAAAAGAAAAAGAAAAAAAAATAGAAAAAGCAAGATAAAAGTTTTGTGTGATGCAGAGAGTGTGTGCACATTCATCTTCAAGTTGCTAGTTGTGCTCCTAGGGCATTGGCGAAAACATTTTTGTGGAAATGATGTTGCATTTTTTATTATTATCATTTTTTTGTTACAAGGACTGAGGTCCTATCCCATTGGATAAATACCCCACTTTTAAAGTAGATGTTTCTGGTTCGAAACTCTCTCCACCCTTGTATCAATACTGATCAAGAATTATTAATTTTTTGTTAAAGTTTGCGGTCACTAGTATGTATATGTAATGAATACATACCTATTTAAGTATTTATTAATCACTTACCCCTGCTTTCTTGGAAGCTTTGGTCGAGCAAAATACATTTCTATAGAAATTAATTATCTATTATAAAATCTCTGACATATGGTATATTGACATTTGAAAAGCTGATAACGTATTTTTGGCATATATTGGAAATTTGAGGAGGCTGCATTGAAGCTTTCTTGCTTAATATTTGCAATAATACAGAAACTTTTTCTTCAAGCACTCGATGAAGATGCAATAATCATCTCAACATCCCAGATATAAATGTGGCTGATGCTGTTAATTCTCGACGCAGGTCACTGGCAAAGGGATACCGAAGCAGGGCGAGGTTGCAACCTTAGTTGATCAGGTTACTCTTCTCCAGAGAAAATTTTCTCATTGTAGCCCATCTCTTGTGGCACAAAATAACATCACGTTTGCATTCAAACTTGCAAGAGATGCAATAGTTTCTCAGATCTCTCAGCCGGCCGAAATTTTTTGGGGCAAGAATGTGAAAGAGACTTGTGCAATTTGTTTGGAAGACATCGATATTGGCCACATGTTTTTGGTTGATGGTTGCATGCACCAGTATTGTCTTTCTTGTATGAAACAACATGCGCATGTGAAGTTGCTTCAGGGAATGCTGCCCAAATGCCCTCATGAAGGATGCAATTCTGAGCTGAAAATTGAGAGTTGCAAAAAATTTCTGACTCCTGAATTATTAATTATTATGAATCAGCACATGAAGGAAGCTTCCATTCCTGCTGCACATAAAATTTATTGCCCGCATCCTAGGTGCTCAGCTTTAATGTCTATAATTGAGGTTCTAGGATCTGTTAGAAATGCAAATGTTGGTGTTGAACGATCTGGGGCTGCAAAATGCACAGAATGTCATGGCCTTTTCTGTATCAATTGTAAAGTCCCTTGGCATATTAATATGACTTGCTTGAACTACAAAAGGTTAAATCCTTATCCTTGTGCAGAAGATGCTAAGCTGAAAAGTCTTGCTACAAGGAATTTATGGCGTCAGTGTGTGAAGTGCAACCATATGGTTGAACTTGCTGAAGGTTGCTATCACATTTATTGCAGGTATTGCTTTCATTTTGTCTCATTTTTACTTTCCATCTAATAAATGGCAACTTCTCGAATGGAAGAAAGGTATTAGGTGAATAAGATGGCCCGTTTTCCTAACATGGTGATTGAACAGTTGAAAACCACGATACAAGGCTACAAGACTGGACATGGTTTGTTAAATGAAATAGAATTGCCCTAATTAATTACCATAACATTTTAACTTTTTTTCTTTGAACAATTCTGAGAGTATCCTTTACTTCCATAAGCTTTTTGGCATCTATCATCGTTTCAACAAGGGTATGATTTTATAACAGATGCAAATTGAATAGCATTTAGTAATTTCTACATTGTAGGTGGAAAGTTCTTTTCTTTTTTGCCTTTATTTTTCTCTATTCTGATAAGTACAACTGAAAGTCGATGTGGATCTTTTGCAGCAGGTGATTGATAATTTTTGTTGCTTAAAATATGTAGTGTTCTGATCTTTTCTTTGATCCAATACGGCCGTATTCTGGTGATTGAATCGATCTTACTGTATTGTGTGCTCATATTTTGTCGTCCTTTCTTTCTATTTTTTGGGTTGATAAGTCACTTTATGGTGAAGTTTGCTCACTGTTTAAATGAACTGCTGTTTTTCGATATTTTTATCAATTGTGTTTGCTAGATTGGTGGGCTTTGACCTGCCATATGGAAACTTTTGGGGAATGTTAACGTAAGGTGGAATGTAGGATGGGTTGCAGTTTTTTTTACAGTGATAGGAGCTCTACTTGACTTGAAAAAGACTCAGCTGAACTTTTGAGATCAGCTAGATTCTTGAGCAGACATCAACTTTAACTGAAAGGTGACTGCATGCTATGTTTACTGCAATTGCAGTCTGGAAATGGGAAAGTTTGCGGTGGTGGTCACTATTCTTAGTTTAATTATTGACTAATGATTTAGAACACTTCTGAGGCTAGTGTGGCATTTTTTTTTCAAGCTTTTAAACGATGAAATGGTTCAAAAGCCTAACTTTTGGTTGGTTGAAATATAGTTTAGTGTCCTAATGTCCCTCTCTGATGGCCCTTACACCCTTTGTTGGTGGTGCTTATGTATTCATAGTGCTTGGAAATGAATCTGCTGGATAACTTCTTTTTTTCTGTGTCTTACCAGTAGTTCTATTGAATAATTCTTGTATGTTCTGCAGATGTGGACATGAGTTTTGCTACACTTGTGGAGCTGAGTGGAAGAACAAGAAAGCAACATGTGCATGTCCCATCTGGGATGAGCGCAATATTATATATGATCAGAATAACGGACATCAACAAAGAAGGGCATGATCTGGAGTACTGCAACGCCAGTTAAGTTTATTACATCACTCCTACTTTTGGAAAGGAATAAAATGTAAATGGAACTTATTTTCATCTTTGCAACCATGTAAAGGGTCAAAGTGGAACTTTTAGGATGCTTATCTAGGATCTGTGGTGTCACTAGCAATGGTTCACAGATACTTCTTTGCGGTGAACTCTTGATGAAACGGAGTTGTTTCACACGAAGCTATGCAATTATATTTTGGAAATGCTTTGGGTAAGATTGTGAATATCTGATCTTTCCTAGACCCTTGTGCATTAGCAATGAGGTTTGTAACCCTGTCTAGCTTCCATACAGGAGCCATCAAGACAGTACTAGGCTTTTAGAGTCCTCGTCACATCGATCAAAGTTGTCAAATAGTACTATTTCGGGTTTTTTTGTTGGCAGGGCAACACCAGACCAGCATTTTCTTTACAATTGGAAAGTTTAGACCAATTTCAGGTTGTTTGTTTGATGGGTTATGGAGGGGTTTGGTATGGTAGGTTTAAGGAAAAAGGTCCAATGAACCAATAAAACACATGTTTGGTTACTATTTTTTAAGTCCCGGATTATAATTTTGGCCCCTAAGTGGCCCGTTGTATTACATCCATATACAGGAGCTTTGGCAAACCCATTGGAGTTTATATATGCAAGCCCAAGTTAACTATGCTAAATAACCCTTCTACTCCTATTAAAATATCCCACATACATGGCCAATGGGCAATATAGTGAATTACATGGCAAATGTTTGATTATAATTGTGATTAATGCGTGAGTCTTACATCTGAATGTGCTACTTACCAAACAGAGGTATAAATAAGATTCATTTATGAATCACATGTACATAAAGGCGGGGTCGGGTTAGGAAGGATTTGATAAAATCAATTCAATTTCCTCACCCCAAAACCATCCAAACATGCCCCTAGTGCTTTGTATCTTTCCTCTTTGAATACTTTGGAGCATGCCAAAAATTACTCACGACTGACAGTTCATTATGATACAATTTCAATATCACACGAACTATAAATTGGTGAACCAGTTTTGACAAGACATTATCTAGGCACGAGACAATTGGATGTCACACGATCTACTGTTAGTTCTACCATTGGTCGGATCAAGAGCCCAGCATAAAGCCAAGTTGTTTTCATCTACTTCAAAGCCCAAGATAGGATGGTCTGATTTCTTCAAAACCCAAGATGGGATGTGAAAATGGGACCGATTATAGGGGATAATCTGGATTTGTCTATACTACCTTGGGATAGGGTACATGTTCAGCCCAAGCCAGAAAACCTATTTTTCATGCCTTGAATCCAACTGTATCTAAGCTCAACCTCCAAAAAGAAAACGGAAAATCAATGGAAAATGATAAAAACAATCCGTCATAATGAGCTTACACTGTCGGCTCGTTTATATGTAAAATAATTGAATTATTTGTGTTTGACTTATTTTGGACTCGGCTCATATTTTAAACAAGTTAAACTTGAACAATTTTTTAGACTTATTTATAAAAACGATCTTGACAGGTTCGACTCGAACTCGCAAAGTTTAACTTGATTATCAGTTCTACTTATGAATACACAAAGCAGGTCTTCTTCTCGCTTCCATTCTTATTTGTTGGAACCCACAACCATTAAATTGACGGTATACTCTAATATTTATTAGAATCCGCAGTCTAACTAATTATTGTGATAAATTAAGTCAAAAAATCATGTCAAAAAATTAGATACAAATAAATCGAATCAACACTGGCTGCTACCTCAAGTATTTTTTTGTTTTCTGTGGGTGTTCAAGATGGACTTTAGTCTTTTGACATGATATTTTCCAACACTTAGTGATAGACAATTCTGTTGGAGAAACTTCATGGTTGGGCCGATAATTTTAGACACGACTCGTGAAATCAACACGAACTCAATATGGTTGTAGCGAATTTGGGTGTAATCTTAATAAATTCGGGTGGTTAATTCGGTAGACCAGTGAAATAAACGAATCGATTTCGTATATAACTCATAAACTCGTTTTAACACGTTAATGGTGGTATTATAAATTTTTAAAAAACAAGTTAGGTCTCTCGGCATCTGCTTCATCTCACACCTCTCATCTCTAAAACTCACTTAAATTTAGTAGTCATTTAATGTTTATTTTTTGTCATTATTTTTTTACTCAGCCATGATTTATTGTTATAATAAACAGGTCAAACATGTGTAATGTATGGCGAGTTAATTTTTTGTGGGAATTCAAAATACTCTAACCTATTCTCTTATTTAGCGGATGACACACGGGTTGTATCGGGTAGCCCGTCTAATAAACGATTCATATATGTGTGTAATAGTTGGACTCGTTTATATAAACGAATGGGATATGGATTAAGGGTTTTTTGACACAAATTTGTTCTACCCAACACGAAATTGTTCTGGTCGACACAATTGACAAGTCTATTCGTTCCTATTCGTGGTGGTTCTCAGAGAAACTTATGTATGTCATTGTCGGATGACCTTCTAGACTCTAGTATACACCAAACAACTTCCGCCATTGAATGTTGAAAGAAACTTCTCTGAAAAGACTCTTTTCAACTGATTAAATCTAAGGGTTCCTGGGTCTGTTCAATTGCGTGTTTAAACGTACATAGACTTCTATGTTATGTGGCCAAACAATTTATACCATAGTGTTGATGACACCCACATGTTAATTGGCTTTGCTTGGACTACTTGACCCTTTTGAAAATTCTCAGACTGCAGCTAGGCCTTTCAATAGAATTGCTATGTACTACTTTAGTTTCGTCTCATTGTTAAGTTTTCTAGGGTTAATCCGAAGGATAGTTCAAAAGATAATAAGGACGAACTATAAGTTCAAATGTCTTGAGTTCGAACCTTAACAACTCTTTAAAGTCAAATAATAAGAAAATTTATCTCTCATAAATACTTTAATCTTGACATAAATGACCCACGTTTGTCAGGACCAAAGGAAGATTAGTGAAAGTGCAATGTAGACATGCACAACTGTACTTTTTTTTGTTGAGATTGAGTTTAGAGTTGGGCCATAGTCGTGTGAGTTTAAGGTCTGGTCTTTCGAGCTTTGAATTAGACGTCGAGACGTGTTGGAAGCCTCAAAGGGGAAGACTCGCAAAATTATTATATCGAAAGTCTTTCGCGAGGGTGGCTCAAGATAATTTGAGGCATAAAATAGAAATATTAAATGAGAGTCTTTTTATTTTTCATATTATTTTTAAAAAAAATTAATTTATTTTTCATTTTTTATATAAGAGAGAGACAAAAGAAGAATGTGTTAATTTTGTTAAGAAAGAGATTTCAACTTTCGTTTTTGTTTTTTTACCACAGAGAGGGAGAGAGAGTGTTTAATTTTAATTTTAATTTTTGTTTTTATTTTTTATTTTTTACCGGGGAGAGAAAAGTGGGTGAGAGTAAATATGAGTTAATTTTTGAATATTTTTTTTTTTTAATTTCTAAGTTTTTAATGTTATGGATTGAATTATCAGTCCAAATTATTACAATAAAAAATTTGATTGTATTTAATTTTTTAGGATTTTTTTGTAGAGTTTAAAATTTAATGAATTTAATTTTTTTTGTGGATTAGTGATGTAACTAAAATTACGAGACCTTCTAAAAATTTAGGGTCTAAAACCTATATTTTTTTTTCTATATTGTTGGGCCGGCCCTGGTCTTTCATAGTTTGTGATTTTATGTGCTGCTTGGTTTATTAGGATTTATGTTGTAGTAAAGAATATACAATTATAGAGATTGGGAGGATTCTTAACTCAAAGAATAGATGGCGACAACACACACGCTTGAAGTGTCTAATCATGCTTATATTGCGGATTAGGTTTTCATTTATTATATTTTCAAAACGTTTTCAACTCGAGCATTAATAATCACCGTCTCCTAGTGAATCATAACTAACAAACATTATCATACGTAAATTCACAACTTTAGAATTCATTTCAACAATAGATTTTTTTTCAAATATATATGATAATGAGTGATCTAACTCACCGCTTCGACAATCTAGAGTACTCCTATTCTTTCCAAAGCAATTGGTGAGAATCGATGTCGGCAATTGACTTCATTGTTAGGAGTTGCTTTGCATACACTTTGATCATGCTAGTTGATGATATATTTTGAACCTTCGAACCATTATATTCCGCCTGATACAAGAAGTTGCCCTTAGATATACAAAGTCAAGTAAAACTCGAAATGCTTCCATGAACCTAGTCTTTGGCCTTTCATAATTGTCCCCCTAACTAGTTCATCTCTAGATAGAGAAGAAACCGTTCGTTTGAAATATGACATTTTAATTGTGTAACAAAATTATCCACGCAATCACGATTTTGCAAATAGGATTAACAACCCGTTTATGCAGTTGCCTTTATTCAGCTTTGTAAGGATTTGTCTCACAAAATGAAGGTCAAAGGACCCACGATCATGTGCACAAGATGTGCTATATCCAAATGCTTAAAAGCCTTAAACCACTAGACCAGTCAACAAAAAAAAAAAAATATGATAATGTGGGGTCTTCCTTATCACGCATGTTGATGGTAGTGAGAAAAGAGGAAGATTTGAAGGCTGCCCAACAACAAGATAGATATCCATGTCCAATACGAAACCAAAAAAGATAAGTGCAGCTCTTTAAAAGGGAGGGGGGAGAGAGAGAGAGAGAGAGTAAAATCAAAAGTTTGGACTTAGGTCCGGGGTCCTGAAATCCTGATTCAGATTGTTTTCCCACTTTAAAAAATAATGAGCATGTTTGAAGTTGGATTATTTAGGTGAAAAAGTGCGGTTTAAAAAATTTTGCACCAAAAAAAAGAGTTAAAAAAGTCCCAAAAACCGTTTGAGGTGTTCTTTAAAAAACTAAAAATTATAAAAGTTAATTTAAAGTGACTTCAAGTTTTTTTTGTGTCAAAATAAAAAAAAAATAATTACATGTATGAATAGATTATGCATAATAATACTAAAAAAATGAATATCAATTTTTTTTATGTCAGTAATAATATTTTATGAATATAATAAACTAAAAAATTTTATATGACAAACGACAAATCTCCAAAAAGCTAGAAGAAAAAACTCATATAATTAACTTTTTGAAACAAACTAAATAAGCCTTTTTTGAGTCCAAAAAATTAATGCATAAGCTGGTGAAAAAGTCTAAATCCAAACAGACCTGACTTATTTTACTCCAAAGTCTATAAAATCAACTTATTTTAGTCAACTCCAAACAGACTCAATGTCTTGGTTCACAGTAGA